ATTTAGGGAGGTAGGGATTTAGGGAGATAGGGATTTAGGGAGATGGGAATTTAGGGAGATAGGGATTTAAGGAGGTGGGAATTTAGGGAGGTAGGGATTTAGGGAGATAGGGATTTAGGGAGATAGAGATTTAGAGAGATAGGAATTTAAAGAGATAAGAATTGAGGAAGATAAGGATTTAGGAAGGTAAGGATTTAGGGAGATATCTACCTTCCTAAATCCCTACCTTCCTAAATCCCTATCTCCCCAAATCCCTACCTTCCTAAATCCCTATCTCCCCAAATCCCTACCTTCCTAAATCCCTATCTCCCCAAATCCCTACCTTCCTAAATCCCTATCTCTCTAAATCCCCATCTCCCTAAATCCCCATCTCCCCAAATCCCTATCTCCCTAAATTCCTATCTCCCTCTATCCCTACCATCCTAAATCCTTATCTCCCTAAATTCCTACCTTCCTAAACCCCTGTCTCCCTAAATCCCTACCTTCCTAAATCCCTATCTCCCCAAATCCCCATCTCCCTAATTCCTATCTCCCTCAATGACAATTGCCTTGTCTACTGTCTCTTGTTGTATCTCCTCTTTGACACAATATTAAAATTAATCCATCAAGTCATCCTTAATCAAGTTCTCTCGTAATGTCCTCAATATTAAATTTCCAATATCAATTTTCAATATCAATTGTATGTATCTTAACCCCAGCAACGATTAATCATAGTACACAGAGTAAAGAAAGTCCCATCTTCTAGCAATGCTGTAATCATTGAATCCGCGCATGTGATAGTATATAAATGGTGCCGGAACGAACACCTCGCGACAGTCGCATAATTACAGAAAACGACACCAAAACCCCTCGAAGGTAAATAACGATTAGAAAGCTGAAATCGTAACCCGAGATATAAAATACATAATTACAGTAACTATCTATTAAACAACACGTGCAGGTTGTTACAAATCGAACTGGATCAACCAGCAAAAATTTAGAAAGTTCAATAATTCTGATGGTAAAATCGCGGAAGATGGTGTCCGACTGTTAACAAGGTCAAATCCGTGTACACAGTATTTGCAAGTGTGATTTGACGTCGCCAATCAGTTACACAAAAGGCAAACAATCAGCATATTGATAAAGTTTCTAAATAAACAGTTCGACGAGTCAACTATGTTGCACCCGACGTTTCTCTTCATATTCATTAGAATCAACTCGAAGGTTAATACGAGGCGTTTATTCGAGGATCGGCTTCGATGACGAGCATAATTTTACGTGACATTAATATTAATACGGTGAACGAGTGTTTTGTTAACCGGAAACAGGAACATGGTCTGGTTATTTTAATGAGAAGTTTATTTTAGAATGACACTTGAGATGGGGACTTGAGGAGGCACTCTGAGTAGACGATGGAGGAGGGATTTAGGTAGACTGGGATGGGGACTTAGGGTGTATTATTGCAAGGGACGAAATAGGGAGATGGTAGATTTAGGCTAGGTAGAGTTAAGGTAGATTGGAGGAGGAATGTGTTGTGAGATGGGGACTTAGGGTTTATTATTCTTCCAAGGTCAGAAATAGCAAAATGGGGACTTAGAGTGTATTACTCTTCCAAGGTCCAAAATAGCAAAATGGGGACTTAGGGTGTATTATTACTCCAAGGTCCAAAATAGCAAAATGTGGACTTAGGGTGTACTACTCTTCCAAGGTCCAAAATAGCAAAATGGGGACTTAGGGTGTATTACTCTTCCAACGTCCAAAATAGCAAAATGGGGACTTAGGGTGTATTACTCGTCCAAGGTCCAAAGTAGCAAATTGGGGACTTAGGGTGTATTATTACTCCAAGGTCCAAAATAGCAAAATGGGAACTTAGGGTGTATTATTCTTCCAAGGTCCAAAGTAGCAAGTTGGGGACTTAGGGTGTATTACTCTTCCAAGGTCCAAAGTAGCAAGTTGGGGACTTAGGGTGTATTACTCTTCCAAGGTCCAAAGTAGCAAGTTGGGAACTTAGGGTGTACTACTCTTCCAAGGTTTAAAATAGCAAAATGGGGACTTAGGGTGTATTACTCTTCCAAGGTCCAAAATAGCAAAATAGGGACTTGGGGTATATTACTCTTCCAAGGTCCAGAATAGCAAAATGGGGACCTAGGGTATATTACTTCACCAAAATCCAAAATAGCAAAATGGAGACTCAGTTATGTTCCTCTCCCAACGTCCGAAATGCAAGATGGACTTAGTACGTATTATAAACTAAAGAGTTAAGATATTGAAGCACATAGTACCTATGTGGACATATAATGTAGAACCTCCTCAAAATCAACATCCATAAAAATAACCTAACCACAAAAATCCTTATTACATAACCTAGAATGATCCTATCATGATCCCATAATTCCTGTGACACCAGATGCCATCTCCCGGAGGGTAAAAGCAATGTCCAGGGTTGCAACCCCCAATCCCATCTACTGGCGACCGTAACAAACAAACGTGAACGATGGCTGCGCACGCGTGAACTTTATCGATAAGACTCCGAGGGTTCTGGCCGAGAGAGGAGAGGGAGGAAGCGATCACAAGAGAAGTGATAGGATGATACCGTGGTTGGATCAGCTCAGTGGCGAGAAACGAAGCGCCTGAGCGTCCTCTCCCGAGGACCACGCCGGTAGAAATCCTCGAGGAGCGAAAGGACAACGCCTGTCAAGGCTTGCTTGAACTCTTCAAGGTTGTGGTGGGATTCGTGGTCCGGGTGGGAGAGCAGGTGAGACTAGTTTTGCCGGTAGGAGAAGGAACGGGTTAGTAGAATAGAAAGGATCTGCAAGATGCAGACAGGTCGGAGAATCGACATCGAGAAACCTTACTGGGATCAGAGCACCTATCGTGGAAGGGCGTTGCACTTTCTCACCGTCACTAACCCTTTGAATCTGTTTGTTGGGAGCAAACAGCTCGAACTTGCTCGTGACATCGTTACCAAATACAGGTATTTAATTGCTAACTGACGTTTCGAGGTCTGACATAATTTCATTGTGCGAACTGATGACGACTGCTGTCTTTCGATTGTTGCTGTCATTCGATTCGTGTGATCGTGTTTTTTTAATTGATAGAACTGCATATGGATTAAATTTAAGACTCGACATACTATGTGAGCTTGAATTATTCAGTTGTTTTATCACTCCGTCAGTATATTTTTATTTTTGTCATTGAGAATGTCAACTTGTGCTTCAAAATGATCTACAAAGTCAAGAAAAATTTCATCATTCGCCTCTTCAAAATGGAGTAAAATAAATTTTAAATTTGCAACACCTATTGATTCACATTGAACAATTTCGAATATAAGTCTAATAAGAAAGAGACGAGTAACACGTGTCTGATAAGTTTTTCAAACGAATGTACGTCATCGATAATACGTGATTAGAAACATGAATTTTAATCGATGATGTAGGAAAGGAGACAGCCTGCAGCAACTGGGTATCACGGAAGAACAATTATGGAAATACAAATACTTGTACGACAGCGCGTTCCATCCGGATACCGGCGAGAAGATGTTGCTGATCGGACGCATGAGTGCCCAAGTTCCAATGAACATGATGATAACGGGGTGTATGTTAACGTTCTACAAGTATGTATAAACAGTAATAATTAATTGGACCGAAGAAACTGGGACGGTTTATCGTGCGTCGACCTTGAACGGAATATACCGAATAACTGTTAAAGATAAACATAATTCAGACCTTTCACCTCGTTGTTTGGTTTCAAAATCCACGGGTGATTTGTAGCAGTCACGTTTTGTCGTGATTAGATAATAGAAAGTCTGAAGTTTGTTCTATTATTTGATTTAAGACGCAGTTTCTGAGGAAGATATTTTGCACATTTATTTAGGGAGATAGGGATTTAGGGGGACAGGGATTTAGGGAGATAGGGATTTAGGGAGATGGGGAGTTAGGGAGATGGGGACTTAGGGAGATAGGGATTTAGGGAGATAGGGATTTAGGGAGATAGGGATTTAGGGAGATAGGGATTTAGGGAGATAGGGATTTAGGGAGATAGGGATTTAGGGAGATAGGGATTTAGGGAGATAGGGATTTAGGGAGATAGGGATTTAGGGAGATAGGGATTTAGGGAGATAGGGATTTAGGGAGATAGGGATTTAGGGAGATAGGGATTTAGGGAGATAGGGATTTAGGGAGATAGGGATTTAGGGAGATAGGGATTTAGGGAGATAGGGATTTAGGGAGATAGGGATTTAGGGAGATAGGGATTTAGGGAGATAGGGATTTAGGGAGATAGGGATTTAGGGAGATAGGGATTTAGGGAGATGGGGAGTTAGGGAGATGGGGACTTAGGGAGATGGGGATATAGGGAGATAGGGATTTAGGGAGATGGGGATATAGGGAGATAGGGATTTAGGGGGACAGGGATTTAGGGAGATAGGGATTTAGGGAGATAGTGATTTAGGGAGATAGGGATTTAAAGAGATAGAGATTTAGGGAGACAAGGATTTAGGAGGACAGGGATTTAGGGAGATAGGGATTGAGAGAGATAGAGATTTAAGGAGACAGGGATTTAGGGAGACAAGGATTTAGAGAGATAGGGATTTAGGAAACAAGGAATTTAGAGAGATAGGGATTTACGGGGACAGAGATTTACAGAGATAGAGATTTAGAGAGATATGGATTTGAGGCTTCAGGGTTTAAAAATTTGGGATTTGAAGGTTCAGATACAATTTTAAAATTCACTACCTTAAGTATTTGGAAATTAGGGATTCGTAGATTTAAATATTTGCACATTCAATAATTTGGGAATTTAGAAAAAGAATTAGTACTCCCAAAAATCTCTACCTCAAAATATTCCAAAACCTTTCTATGCAATATCCCTTTACCAAATTCAGTCCCAACCGAGTTACGCCAATGCATATCCGCACACATCAGTTCGTCATTGAGACATTTAAAATTAAACCAAAACAACGCATCATTTTATTTCTCAGATCAACGGCGCACGTGATAACCTGGCAATGGATTAATCAATCGTTCAACGCCATCGTCAATTACACGAATCGCAGCGGATCGAATCCAGTGCCGATGAATACGATCTTGCAGAGCTATGTGATGGCATCTGGAGGGGCTGTGGCGACAGCCCTAACCTTGAATCACGCTCTCAAAAATGCTCCACCGTTGGTGGGTCGTTTAGTGCCACTCGCTGCTGTGGCAGCCGCCAACTGCGTGAACATTCCCCTCATGAGGATATCCGAACTGAAGAATGGTATTGAGTTGCAGACTGAGGATGGGAAGAGGGTTGGTCACAGCAAACGGGCTGCTAGGAAAGCCATCATCGCTGTGACCTTGTCACGTATACTTATGGCTTCTCCCAGCATGTGTGAGTATTAGTTTTTGTGATCATTGTTTATTTTTTAGTCTATTCTTCTAATGTCTGGAAAGGTACTTGTGGCATCTCCTCAATTTTCAGAATGTCTTTGAGTTCAAGTACACTTAGTTGCACCTTCATATAGACTGAAAATACAGATTTGTATGTGTTAGGTTATTTGTAAGCCATAAGCTACTCATGTGATCTAATCACCCTATCTACTTAATGCTACACCAAGTATTTCTATCACATATAAAAGAGTGTAATTTTCTATCTGTGTGTTGCAGTGCTAGCACCAATAATTATGAACTTCATGGACCGACGACAACTGCTCCGTAACGCAAAATGGGCAGTGACACCCATACAAGTTTTGATTTGTGGTATCTGTCTAACATTCGCAACCCCTCTCTGCTGTGCTCTGTTTCATCAGCGAGTACCCATCTCGGTAGACGAACTGGAACCACAAGTACAGAAAGAAGTGCTTTCGCATGACAGCAATTTAAAAATTGTGTACTATAACAAAGGTCTCTAAACCGACAAGACTGTATTGGAAAAATGATAAATCAAGGAAACGTGCCGCAAGACGTGATACAGATGAAGTTAGCCAATATTATTTCTCGATTTGAGAGAAATGAAATGTACACTCAGGTGCAATTTAGGCTGCCTGGTGATTGGTCTTGGGACTAACTCTGAGAGAAACCTGTGCAAGAATGACCTATGGATCTTAGTATAAGTAGCTCTGAAAGCCTAAAGAGAATCCTAGGAAACTTATTAACCAGTCCAATGATCCAGGGAGAATTCTAGGGAGGAACCAGTCCAAAGATGATCCTAGGATCCTGAAAGACAGAAAGAATTAGCTCTATGAAACTAAGGGAGAACCTTGTAATCAGAAGATCTAGAAAACCCTAGGAATCTGAGCTAGATAAAACTCCAGAACCTAGGGTCTTTTCGTCCACACTTCCTGTAACAAAGGAAAACCTAAGTTGCACATAACTGTACCATATCCCCATGTGTTCTCATTTGCAAGACCATCCAAGGATCAATAACAAAGACAATAAAAACAGTACAATAAACGAAGATTTATTGAGTACAAATTTATACATTTAGTTTTTAATCATTCAAGTCTCCTAGATTTAAGTTGAGTTTTACCTCACCATGATCCTGAGGATTGTGAATCCTTTGAACTGGTTTTGGAGGTTTAATTTTGCGACCGTGTCGACCATCTTTCCTGTGCCAGAGACCGCTTCTAGGTCTATTACCAAGTTCCCTATTCTTTTGTGCGCTGCCTATTGGTGTTGATCCGTGTTTTACGTTCGATAATCTACCGACCGTCGCCATACACGACTCGTGTAAACTGAACTCCCTCTTACTCGGCATTTTCACTACCACACGATCGTCTCCGTCATATTTCTTTATTATGCCACAGGTTCCAGCAGCATGGATAAGAAAGCCACCTAAGCCTGGATATTTTTCTACACAATTAACTACAGTGCCGAGAGGCATTGCTTTCAGTGGATAACAGTCTCCTTCGTTGGGTCTGATAGGATTTACAGGTATGCCCCAATGGGTACGAATTATGTCGCCAACTTTCATGTTCTCTGTGGCAAGAATATAGTGCAGGTCCTTTCCACTTCCGATCAAAGCGACAAATGATGTCCTGCATCCATCTTTGAATATTTCTAAGACCTTATGTTCGCGTGGTGGTTCATTCAAATCAGAGGGTCCTTCTCTGACCCATTTGATCCAATGGTACTTGTGCTTGATCCCTCCTCCAATACCTTTTACTACTATCCTTCCTGTTTAAACAATAAATTTCATAAATTTGGATAGATTTGCAATGTGTGAAGTGATTGTCTAGTAACTTTTACTCTGTCAACTGCAGATAATCTCGTAATACTAGAGTTCTCAATCTTTACTTAATTAGAAACTCTTTTAGATAACCACAAGTAGTTACACTTGGTATTTGAGGTTATGAGTAATAACAACAATGTAGTACTGTGAAAACTATATATATGATTTAGGAAAGCTACTATTTAATGAGATTTTTAAGGATTACAACGTGTTAACATGTTGACAGAGTGAATACATACCTGTAACAGGATCTCTGCCTCCCAAATTCGTAACTTTTAAAGGTTCAACAGTGTATTCATCTTTGAAATGAACAATTCTCCGGAAAGATTTTCCGTTTTTGCCGGGTTCTGGAAGTTTCACGAGATTCCATCGATATCTCTTCGGCTGCACTTGGCACAATACTTTTGTTTTGTTACAAATTTCTGTAATTTCTTTCCCCAAAACACGACCTATCAACGAAATAGCAGACATCTTGTCGCAGAACTAATAGTGCTGCCCTCTGAGCAACTATTTTGAGTCTCACAGGAGTCGTCAGATGTCGCTACGAATGTTTTCAGTGGCATAGTGGTTTCGGTTTTGAAACGATAGTTCGTGCGGGATAGTAATTAGTCTTGAAAGTGGATTTTTGAGTTCTTTGAAGTGAGTTAATTGGTATTTAATGTAATACTAGTGCTACTGGAACTTTTGAATTAATTCCTCGAGTCAACTATTATTGCAGCTGATAAAACAACCTGCAAATGGTTCTGTCAATCACGACACGATCGATCATCGATTTCCATCATGGCTACCTATACGTAAGTAATTATTTATATTCGAAAATTAAAATAAAATCTCTGTAGTAATCGTACAGTAAATTCACTTACCGTACTTTTAAGTTCAAAGGCGAAATAATTTGAATATTTCTGAAATTAATTACTGAATTCTAGATTTCTTTTACTATATCACTTATGAATTAGAGTACTTTCTTCTCTAAAGAAGTATAACTGTAGACTGTTTTAAATATTATAACCTATGTTTTATAAATTATTTTCAAAGGGCAGTTTTGTATAAAGCTTAGATTTCTTCCTAAAACGAAAAGTTAATGAATTTGATAGTCAATCGCATTTCATAAGACAACTATAAACAAGAAAACGGCAGTTGTGTTTCACCAGATACGTCAGCGAATCCATTATATTTATACGAAAGATAAAACACCGTTATCGGAAATCAATAAATTATTTTCCGTGCTGACGAGCAATACACCGTCGTTTCATGCTAAATTTTCGTCGGCGCATAAATATAAAATGCATTATCGCGGACAATCGCGTTAAATCTCCCTCGTGCCCGCGAAAAATGCGAGTAGCCAGCCGTTAAATAACGATTCGCGCGTACGAGGTAAAATGGCGGGAAATACAAACGTGCGCCCTCATGTTCAAACTTATTCTATACAAACAAACGTTACCAACGAAACTATTATTAATTTATATTTATATTAATTTATATAAAAATAAGGATGGATATAATAGTACGGATGTAAGTAATTGTTAATTAATTAAAATATTGAATTTAAATGCTCCATGTACTCAGAACAATAAACTGGGAACTCTTGTTCAAATATTCAATATCATTAAATTATATTATTAATTATTTAGGTAACAGTCAAGTAAATATGTGTTTTTAACGTATATTTGATGACCAAATTTGTTTGATGAAATAAGTCATATCATACGTTTCGCATTGTCTCGCGTTATATCACATATATCGACAAGTAGAATTGTCTCGCGTTATATCACGTATTTACTCTTTACTGTTTATAACACCGTCGTATAATCCACAAATTAACTCCCCGCATTGTACAACCTTACATTACACAGTGGCCAATTGTACACGCCTGCATTGTAGCCTCGCTACATGGTTTCACTACTCCATTGTAATTCCGAATGAAGATCAAGTATATCGCCTATACCAGCTTAACGTCTACATTTATTCCTCCATAAAATCAGAAAAAAAGTATGTTACATTCTCATGGAGGAAAGTTCCCATCCAAAAAAGCGATCCTTTTAAGCGGCTGCACGCTTAATCGCGCCTGAATAATTCTCGTGCTGTTAATCGTATCCCCGACAGTAGGCTTTTTGAAATAATAATAGCGAGTAAACGGTCGTGTAAGTTGTCGGCTCAAAGAAGGTCGCGGAGTAAGAACGTGCGCGGGTTACGATCCTTCTTCGTGATACCGTACTTTTAAGTTCAAAGGCGAAATAATTTGAATATTTCTGAAATTAATTACTGAATTCTAGATTTCTTTTACTATATCACTTATGAATTAGAGTACTTTCTTCTCTAAAGAAGTATAACTGTAGACTGTTTTAAATATTATAACCTATGTTTTATAAATTATTTTCAAAGGGCAGTTTTGTATAAAGCTTAGATTTCTTCCTAAAACGAAAAGTTAATGAATTTGATAGTCAATCGCATTTCATAAGACAACTATAAACAAGAAAACGGCAGTTGTGTTTCACCAGATACGTCAGCGAATCCATTATATTTATACGAAAGATAAAACACCGTTATCGGAAATCAATAAATTATTTTCCGTGCTGACGAGCAATACACCGTCGTTTCATGCTAAATTTTCGTCGGCGCATAAATATAAAATGCATTATCGCGGACAATCGCGTTAAATCTCCCTCGTGCCCGCGAAAAATGCGAGTAGCCAGCCGTTAAATAACGATTCGCGCGTACGAGGTAAAATGGCGGGAAATACAAACGTGCGCCCTCATGTTCAAACTTATTCTATACAAACAAACGTTACCAACGAAACTATTATTAATTTATATTTATATTAATTTATATAAAAATAAGGATGGATATAATAGTACGGATGTAAGTAATTGTTAATTAATTAAAATATTGAATTTAAATGCTCCATGTACTCAGAACAATAAACTGGGAACTCTTGTTCAAATATTCAATATCATTAAATTATATTATTAATTATTTAGGTAACAGTCAAGTAAATATGTGTTTTTAACGTATATTTGATGACCAAATTTGTTTGATGAAATAAGTCATATCATACGTTTCGCATTGTCTCGCGTTATATCACATATATCGACAAGTAGAATTGTCTCGCGTTATATCACGTATTTACTCTTTACTGTTTATAACACCGTCGTATAATCCACAAATTAACTCCCCGCATTGTACAACCTTACATTACACAGTGGCCAATTGTACACGCCTGCATTGTAGCCTCGCTACATGGTTTCACTACTCCATTGTAATTCCGAATGAAGATCAAGTATATCGCCTATACCAGCTTAACGTCTACATTTATTCCTCCATAAAATCAGAAAAAAAGTATGTTACATTCTCATGGAGGAAAGTTCCCATCCAAAAAAGCGATCCTTTTAAGCGGCTGCACGCTTAATCGCGCCTGAATAATTCTCGTGCTGTTAATCGTATCCCCGACAGTAGGCTTTTTGAAATAATAATAGCGAGTAAACGGTCGTGTAAGTTGTCGGCTCAAAGAAGGTCGCGGAGTAAGAACGTGCGCGGGTTACGATCCTTCTTCGTGACGAGGGTTGAAACGGCGCCGAGGAAGCGTAGGACGGTTCCGAGGGGCGGGACGCGGCGGGAAAACGCTTAATTGGCCTGGGGTAATTATTTTATTAAGTGAGAAGATGGCGGATGGAATGCTAAGAGAGAGCATGCTGGTGCGGTCTGGCGGGTAGGCCGACGACGATGGCCGGGATGGGGTAGATGGCGGAGGAGGGTGCGAAGGGAGGAGTCGAGCAGTGGCGGCGGCAGGTGACGGTGCGGAGAGCGTTTAAAATACCTACGTACCGCGAACGGGAATACCACGGAGGCAGTTTTCCGTGTATACGAGCAGCGACCGCCGCAACTTTCCAGCGTGTGTGTGGCTCTCGCGTGATTCTCTCATCGTCGCGTACGTTCATGCGCGTTACCGGCGACGGAAAAGCCGCGAGAAAGCTTTCCGCGGGAAACCGAGGGACAGAGAAAGAGGGAATCAAGGGGTGAGTCGAGGGGTGGTGCTTGCGCGCGCGTTCAATTCTATGCTGCCCACCAAGGAGGAACTCTACAGGGTGTCACACTCTTCTGCGACAATCATTAACACTCCTGTATGAATAGTTCTCGTCTCACTTTTACAAAATTTCAACCGGTATTACTAAAAGAATATTTCATTATCTACTTTGCCTTGCAAGGGGAAAAGTCAAGAGACAAAATGTCTTCTTCGTTAGGCGAACTTCGTGATTTTATACGTCAGACAGATATCTTACATTGATATTAACAGTTCATGAAGGATTGATGATTCTTGTTCATGGACATATAATAATGCATGAACAAACTTATGCACATATGAGCAGAATCGTGATGCATGAAAGTTAAAACTGCAGTGTCACAAGTATCTCATTTTGCAGTAGTTTCATGTCACAAGTACTTGTGCAGAGAATACAGAACAGAATAGCAAGTTCTCTTTATACGGAAAACTAGCAAATAACAAAGAGATTTTTCTGATGAACCTCCTTGGACATGTAACTTATCAAGATGCATCTGAACATAGGAAAGTTCTAATACATCAAGCTTATTACATGTAATCATAATGAAAATGGTGTCCGAATTGCAGAGACACAGTGTATTAGTCGGTGGAGGGGTAGATCGCGGAGGGGGTACGGGCAAGAGTAGTCGAGCGGCAAATTGTCCGCCATCTTACCCACCTTATACCTTATCTCACACCCTTACCGTAACCACCCTTATCCTCCTTCTTTCGTGGTCTCCTCCTCCAGCCGGTTCTTCTCATCCTACGCACCTCGCCACCCACTTTCTACCCCTCCCTCCATCTTCCTCGCTTTCTCTGACGTTCCACCCTCTCCGCCTCGAAAGCTTTAGATTACCTACCCCTTATAAGCGCTCGTGTTGCCCATTTATTACCACGACTCTCGCGACTACGAGACCACCACCTCCCTTCTTTTTCCTTTCTTTACCCTCTGGCTGCTTCGTTCCTTCGTTCGCACCCTACCGCGTTGTTCGTTTATTTCCACCTTTCTTACGTCAAGCCGCGGTTCTCGTTACACTTAACGCTTTCCGCGTTATATACGCGTGCTGCCGCGGCCAAGTCGGCTAACACGATTAGGCGAATTTGCTGCAAACCGACTTCGACCGTCCAGGTTTCGTACGAAGTATCTTCTTCTTCCTTCTACAATTGTTTGTACGCTGTCTTTAATCTACGCTTTTGGGCAGTTTTTAAATCTTCGTCTCACTATATATTGCTGTCTAAAGAGATGACTTAAATGAATGACTATCCTAAATTAGTAGGTGGTTCGATTAAATTGCTGTCTCAATTATTAAACGATTTAAGTAACTATTACATTGAATAACAATTTAAGTCAGCACATTTAATAAGATTGAAAGTTTGTCCGCATTTTATACTCCAACAGAGAGTACACTCTTCGATTTGCGTTACCTATAAGGTGTGATAAAGGGTTTCAAACG